TCGACCAGACAACTCTGGAAAAGTGTCGGTTCAAGACCTTAATGCTTTTTTTAAAGATACTGGTTTAACCTTAGATCAATTGATGGGCAAAGCTCCAATCCAGAACCTAGAAGTTGATACCTAGAAGACTTATAAATTTGGCAAAAGTCTGTACAACCCTGACGGCTCTGAATGAATTGGGTACGCAAATGTACTTGCTCAACAAGTGGTACATGCAGGCGTGTGGCAGGGGTGAGGAGTGGATCTTTGTCAGATTTAGAGACCATCATTACTTCCGTGGCGATGACATCTTACATATTAGTTTTGAAGAATTGCATCAACTATGCCACATGGATGCTCTGGACAAATCAATCATTAGCTCCTTTTGTTTGTAAGTGATTCTTACTTTTATTTAATAAACTCACTTCCATGCGTACGTGTATATAATTATCCTCACATATAACTTATATTTATATACAGATTCCAGATGTCAGAGCTCCAAAGAATACAAGACACCAGTATTGGCTTCATTGATCCTTATATCGTATTCAAAATCGATATTATTCCCAAGGAGCAGTGGGTATCTGAAGTATAGAAGAATATCATGAGGTTCTTCGTGAAGCAGCACGACAAGACAACAATACTTTTCCCGTACAGCTTTGAGTAAGTGTTAATAATAATATAGTCTACACATTTTGTGTAATATCAATACAACTTATATGCATGTACGTGTGTGTATAAACCAATATAGGTTTCACTGGATACTCATTGTCTTTGAGTTAAACTCAAGTTGGTTAGTAATCTTGGACTCGAAGAGAAAAGAGCGGGCACTATACCAAGATATGATAGATATTATCCAGGGGTAATTTTGATCTCTCGCGCACAACTATTATTGAATAGAATTTGTCATAATTTATTAACGATCGTACATTATTGGTCGCACAGGGTTTAGAAAGAGTTTATTCGGCAACACCGCAAGGATTGCAAGGCACCACTTAATATAGTTGAAATACCAGTAAGTTGTACTATATATACTTTCCCACGTGTTTAATTACTATATCGTACTTCAATTTACGTGTGAGATGATGAGAATAATCTTCTTCTCGTACAGTGGTGTTTGCGGCAGCAACCAGGTAATAACTTGTGTGGATACTACGTTTGTGAATTTATCACTACGCACATAAGAAGAACTCCTAAAGATGTCCTCAAAGTACGTATATATCAATTTTTTATTTATTTTTAAATGAATATATATATATATGTATTAATACTTTTCCTTTTATTTCAAATGCAAGACCGAATGATTGAAACAAAGGGTCATACAAAAAGACCATCTGAAAGCAGTTCAAGAGTTAATAGCAGGATTTCTTCTAGAAAAAGTGCTAAATCCCAACGGCGAGTTCTACTTTGATCCTAAGGAATAAATGATGTAAATTAAATGTTTATTGATATCGTTATTTTCGAGAACAAGATTATGAAAGTGTTGTATATATACATATATATCTATAATATATATAGTTTCATACTTTATTCGAATATAATAATGCTCAAGATGAGAATTAGATGTAATTATATGTGTGCGTGTATTTATATTAGCAGCGTAGAATACGCACATAAAAATATATTATATATTAAACAAATATGTGTAACTGAACTGAAAACAAATTAAACAAAAAAAAGAAGAAGAAAAGAAACCTTTAGTCCTGGTTGGGGTTACCAATCGGGACTAAAGGGTGCGGCCACGTTTGCTCGGCTGGAGGACCTTTAGTCCCGGTTGGTAACACCAACTGGGACTAAAGGTCCCTCTTTAGTCCTGGCTCGATGACCCGGGACTGAAGGTTCCACCTTTAGTTCCGGGATCATTGTCCCGGCGCGGTAACCAGGACTAAATGTCGTTATCGCCCGGGACAACAAGGCTATCCTATAGCAGTGGATCAAACATAAAGGACATACATAGGACTATAGGAGAATCTTTTCTGCCACTAGCATGTACTGAACATCATATCAATTACTAAATGTCTTTTTCTTCCTTTGGAAAACAATGTGCATAGCCTAGCATATCACCTAGAACTACTACCTTTTTTGTGTGTTATTTGCAAAGATGAACCTATGAATATTTACTCGCTTCTGTCACTTATAAGTGATGTTTTGGGCCCAAGCATACCAACTTTAGTTACATATTGATGATTTGGAGCATGTTTAGATATTTGAAAAAGCTACAAATAAATCTCTCCAACTATAGCTTTATAAAAATATGAATTTTCTATATGTTAATGAATCTTAATTATGCTTCAAAATATACTAACAGAAGTTATACGTTTTGGAGATTATGTCAATGTCTAAAACGTCACTTATCTATGACGCTAAAAATCTGTACAATAGTAAGATATTGCCATTTTGGGAAATGGGCTTTGCCTGCTGTCAGTATATATAATATAATGGGACGGTGAAGGGAAACATGATGGGGGCAGCAGGGAACACATATATCAAATGTTTCGTGATCCATGGACACAACACTACACATCCTAAATTCTGGGTGCATGCATAGATTTGAAGAACTTACGAGCGTCATCAGGTTGCGTACGACGTGGATATAAACTATCAATGCAACATATATAGGCACACGCGACAAAGGAATATTCACGTGATGTCGGCGTGCGCATACGATGCATGCCCACGGCTCTTCTTTGCAGTGATGCAGAACATCTACATATGCATATATGTTTCTATAGGAGCAAGGAACGAAATAGTGGCTCATCTTGCGTTTAGTGACAGAAAAGGCAATTTGTCGTTTAAAAAAAAAGGCAATTTGTAGGGTACACCGGTCTTCTCGATCTTTCATATACAGGTGGTGTTCGCTGGTCTGAGGAAACCAGCCTAACCGGTCTTCTCGATCTTTCCCTCACGTGGTGTTACGATAATCAAACCAACCATTCAAAAACGGATAATGTTTTCCATTCTCATAGAAACAATTTTTCTCTCTCACAACAAATCAGTCGGAACATTATTTTTCAGCCAAGTTTTAGACTAGCGAACGGGACCATATATGGAGTAGATGTATACAATAACATATATGCGTGATGCAAGAAACAACTGACCCGCATGTAATAAACATATATATACGCAACGTAAGCTCAGACGTATAGCGCGGACAGCAAATCAATTTCGTCAACGCTAGCGTACGTGTGTCAGAGAACGACTTCGCTAGCCACGCTCTCGATCAATCGATCTCCTGGGCTGGGACGTACACATGCATACATGTCCGTTCAGCAGTAGCAGCACGTACACCAACAAAGCGATAGGTGTTGGCCTGGTGTCGCCATTCACGTAGCTAGCAGCGTCGTACGGTACACATACCGATCCTTTTTAATTTATCTGATGCCCAATTATTACGTTACACTGCTGATGAGAGAGATGAATATACAAGTAATATAACCCGTGGAGCACAATCTGCCACGCCTACCGACCCTGTGCTTCCCAACCCTAATGCCAAATGGTTAACGTCATAATTCCTTCTCCTTCACCTCGCATAAACTACGTTATCTACCTACTAGCTTCATTCCTATCCTGAGAAAACGCATACATGTCTTCTCGCTAGCTAGACGACTCTCTCTCATATGCGTGTGTGCATGTTCCATGCAACGTGACATGACATGACTGAATGAATCGATGGCGGGCGACGGACAAAACGGATAGCACGTGCAAGCTACAGTCCCCTTGGACCGAGAGGCGGGACATGTCGTCCAGAGGCTCCTCCGACGCGACGTACTACCCATCCATGCATGTCGGCCGGCTTGGTCTTGGACATGGTGGTGTAGAGCTCAGAGCTGGCTGGGTTTGGTGACCTGGTGCATGCGTGCCCAACTACGTCTACGTGTGGTGTGTGATATCATTACAGCGAAACAATGGGCGACCTGTGAGGTGAGCTGAATGCCGGACGTCTGGTTTCTGATGTCATACGACTCGACTACCTTGTTGCCTTGTCTCTCAGCATTTTCCTTTTTTTTTAGTCACAAAAAAAAGCATTTTCTTTTTTTTTTTAAAGGAAAGGAAATGAAATAAGAAGGCTCACGTTGCTACTACTTTGAGATGTTGGGCTGATTTAGTTGGGCTTCAGATGAGCCCATCCAGAAGTGGGCCAGGTTCCGCACCGGCCCAGACAGGCCCATTTCCATTCTTAGACCAGGAACTTAAGTACTGATGATAATTGTTTCTAAAAAAAATTAAAAAAAATACTGATGATAATTCATAAATCCCTACCCTCTCTCTCACTCTACGGAAGTGAAACTAAAAATGAAAACATGGGAATCCTGGTCATGACAAGTTTTACCTGAGGAACTTAACTAGTAATATTTTGCCGAGGGCACAGAAACGACACTCGACAAAGTAATTCTTTGCCGAGGGCCAAATTCTGACCCTCGGCAAAACAGACGGCAGGTGAAGACCGTTTGCCTGCCGTCACAGGTTTACCGACGGCCATGTTTTGCCGAGAGCCGGACCTCGGCAAAGATAAACTTTTGCCAACGGCCTTTCTTTGCTGACGGCTGGACCCTCGGCAAAGGGCCCGATTGCCGAGAGGAATTCTTTGCCGACGGCCTGGCCCTCGGCAAATATGGTTTTGCCGACGGCCTACCGTTGCCGAGGGCCGACTCTCGGCAAACCTTTCTTTGCCGAGAGCCCGACATTTGGCTCTCGGCAAAGACGCTGGCTCTTGGCAACGGGCCTGTTTTGCGGTAGTGTATGGTCATGATCATAACAATTATTCCTGGCCATTAGCATGATCAAACCTGCCCCTGTATTTCAGGGAACATGCATCATGCCAGCGCCTCAAGAACTGGTCAGACTCTGAGAGTGAGATCAGTCTCCACTCTAACTGCTCAGACCTTAAACCCCTCCTGTCCTCTAATTTCTCTCCGGCTGTCGAGTTCATGACCTGCCACCCATCCCTCTATATATAGCACTCTACGTGCCACACGCCGTGCGCTATCGGTGCTTGTGCGTGTTCATGCATCGGCGCACGCATGGCTCCTAGCACCTTCTTGTTCGTGTTCTTCTTCCTCCTGCCCGCCACCGCCGTCGCCGCCCCACCGGCTACCGGCGGCAACGCCGCCGCCGCCTTCAACGTCACGGAGATCCTGAGCCGGTACCCGGAGTTCAAGCTCTTCAACTTCCTCCTCAGCAAGACCCGCGTGGCGCGCGAGGTCAACAGCCGGAACTCGGTCACCGTGCTCGTCCCGGACAACTCCGCCGTGGACTGGCTGCTCCGCCGCAGCGCCAGGCTGCCGCGCGCCGCGCTCGTGGAGCTCATCTCCGTCCACGTCGCGCTCGACTACATCGACGCCGCCAAGCTGGCGGCGCTGCCCCGGGGCGGCCAGCCCACCGTGGTCACCACGCTGTTCCAGACCACGGGGACCGCGCGCAACCGCACGGGGTTTCTCAACGTCACCGCCACGGGCCGCGGCGGCGCCGTCTTCGTGTCGGCCGCGCCGGGGTCGCTGATCAACGCCACGTTCAAGAGGGCGGTCACCGCGAGGCCGTACAACATATCCGTGCTCCAGATCAGCAACTTCGTCGTGCCGCCGGGCATCATCACCAGGCCGCGGCTGCCGCTGCCGCCGCCATCGCCGTCGCCGCCCGCGCCGAGGATGAGGCAGATGGCTATCGCGCCGAGCCCTGCGCTTGCGCCGACGTCAACTTTGCCGCGGCTATCTCCGAAGACGATTCCGACCTCGGAGGGCGATACCGCGGAGGCTCCCGACACTGCTGAAGCGCCGGCACCGTCGCGTGGACATGTGGCGCGAGTAACGAGTTGGTGGATTGGTGCGGCCGTGGGGATGGCATGCATGCTCGGGTACTTGTAGATTATTATCCCATTTACAACTGATCGGGAGGGAATCGTCAGAGATGCATCATATCCTATAGGTCATTTTGCGCACCCTTTTGTTTAGTCGATTATCTACCTATATATTTTTGTTTTCTTATATTGTTGTCACGTTTCTTGAAATTAGAGAGTATAGAATTACAAAGGCCAGAAAAACAAGTTGACTATCTTCAACAGAAGGACTCCGACTATATGTCATTTCTGATCCATGGATTATTCAATTCCCTATCACACCAACACACGACTAGTTATAGTAGTATCGAAGTTACGTTCTAAAACTATTCTGTCGCCCATACTATTGTTGAGCGCCAAAGATCTTTTCTTTTTCACTTTTCCTATCCTACAGTCGCCTGAATTCTGGGCACCCTCTCAGGCGACGTTCCTGTCCGTTGGATGACTTCCAGATTCGTGCGCTCTGTTTGCTTGTTTATTGGTTCCGATCTCGGGTCCGGGTACTGGAGACCGCACCACCACCGAACGGAGGGGAGGGGGCGATTCTTCTGGCATACTCCGCCTTCTACCCCGTGGAGGTGCGTCGGAGTCTCTCCCTCGCTGATTTGGAGGCTCGTTCGCGGCCGCCCCGAGCTCCGTCGTCGGGCTCTAGCGCCACCGTGGCCGGCTGCGGGGTCTGGTCCCCGCATCTGGGGGTGTGGGGGTCTGGTCTCCACGTCTGCCCGCTTCGTCGCCGGCGCCATTGTGTTCGTACGCCTCCTCTTCCCCAGCTTTTGCTTGCTAGTAGCTTGCGTGTGTGGTTTGTGATATATATATTCTTTGTGAATTGCGTGAAGTGTTTTATTCATTGTTAAGAGAGACCAAAGTACCAAACTCATATTTAGTGTTCTGCTACAGGTTGGATAGCAATGAAGAAAACAAAAGGTGGACATTTTGGGGTACTCATGGTACTTGATTGACAGCCTCCTTTCAGTAACTATTCAGTCTTTCAGTACCAAAGGGAGTCAGTTGCTTTGTTTGTGTCCAAGTCATTAGCTCTTTTGGTAACACAGTTGACATGCTAATTGCATTTTGGACAGGAAATTTTGAAAAGTCCTGTCACCATTGTACTAAATGAAGAAGCCACAGCAAGGAAGGTTCCCTGCTGGCTTGATCCTCAGAGGCCTGAATCACAGCTTCCCGTTGACACTAAAAAATTTAACAAAAGGTGGCCCTGTAAAGTTGATCATATATGTACTATTAATTCCTTAATTATTAGTTTATTACACCAATTTGTGTTATTTTGATCTTTGTTGCAGGTTTTTGTGGTACCACGAGTGGGCACGTGAGACTGCTTTATCATTACAAACATTGCAGCAATCAAATGGTAGTATCATTGGAGTTCCTACTGCCTAAGGTTTCTATCTCCTCACCCCCAATGCACAAAAAAGAAAAGAGAAACCGATTCCATTTTTCTTTTCCCTCCAGTGTTTTTGTTACAAACTTACAAATTTTGTGTGTAGAATTTGCAGATATTGTACACAATGTGAAGCACCTGCAGAATGAAATTGAGCTCAATGACAGATTGCAGTAATTTTGGATCTCACTTGAGATAATCTGTGGGGTAGCTAATTTTGCTAGTACAGTTTAGCATGGGAAAAAGAATCAGAAGAGAACAGCTGTATCCAATCTGTTCAAAACTCCTGAGGAATGTGGACTATCAAAACAGAGGCCACTCGGTCATGAGGGGTACTATGAAAGCACAAGAATGTTCTGTGAAAAATTAACGAAGATCTAGGTTTACAAGAGGTCAGTCCTTAGTTAATTTTAGTATCTAGTGCTATAGATCAGCATATATCAATTTTGTATTTATGCTTTGAGCAACCTACAGGTTAACAAGGCCACGTCTCATCTGTTGATTGTGTTGTCTGAACAACAGCATCTTGCTTATAATCTATTTGATCAGCTGAACCAATTCCGGCATGCTATTTTTTTATTATGTTCTGGAGGTACTTCTCGACTTATGCCTTTTTCCTTTTTCCTTTTAGGGCTTCAAAATCAATTTGCAAAACTCACTTGTTATCCTTTATAGGAAAGAGTAAATCCTATCATCAAGCCAAAATGTGTCAGGAATTTTAATTGGATGCAAACAGCATTAGGAATTTTTACTTCCGAGCATAAATATGTCAAATATTTTCTCCTATAAACTACAGTACTGCTCCTTGATATAGCACTTGGTATACCACTGAACTATGTGATCCTAATTTTCTACTACATAGTTGTTGAAGTGCTCTGCAAACAAATTAAACATTTAGTTACATAATTGCAATCAACAATAATGTAAATTGCAAGTATCGGACACCACAATTGTAGTTCTAAGCATATGCAATATGGTGGTGTTGAACCATTTTCCTCCTCGATTTGTCTTTTTTCTATTAGTTGTTCTAAATGGCTGGTGCTAAGACTGGATAAATACATAAACATCAACAAAGGACATTTGTATGCACCTTCCGTAAAATTAAAATTTGAATACATGGACTGCCTCTTTCAATGATCCTTTTTTGTGATAAAAAAATATTACATAACTTAATTTAAGCTTCCTACAGCTTGGTCCTTACATAATTTAATTGTCCATCTTAAAAATTGTGCATCTGTCAATTCTTGAAGTCCTTATGCACCTGCATAGGGACATATTGCCTCGGTCTCATGGGATGTTAGATGAGCATTAATCAACACCACATTTTTGTCCTTGTCTTTTCATAGAAAAAAGTTGTTTATTGTGATTTGTGCCAACACATTTCAGATATTTGTGTTTGTGTTTCTATATAACAAATTGTAGTATGTTAATTGTGATCTGTGTCAGCACACAACATTTTTATGCTGTCCTTTCATAGAAAAAAATGTTTTTTGTGATCAGGTTTTGTGACTCCATGCATGCATCTTCTCAGTTCCTCCTCTTTTTTCATGGCTGAAAAGAGAATAATCTCATCGGTACCAGCAGAAGGTGGTGCTCTGGATCCCCACCATTACCAACGATAGGACGAAGCGGAAGGCCATGGAGGCCATCATGGACATCTACGGTAAGCAACTAATCCAAACTAATAACCACGTTGTTCCTTCCTAGCTTATTTGTTTTGTCAGTTTAATTAATTTGGATGGAAAAAAAGAGCTATAAAATATGATATGATGGATCTCTGCAGCTGAAACTAGATAGATATGTACTCCATGATCTGGATGCTTGCTTTAATTTCAGCTTTTCTGTTATTATTATTCAGAAATATACATGGCTTTACGGCCAACTTCTGGTAGCTGAATTATTCTTGTGATCATATATATATATATATATATATATATATATATATATATATATATATATATATATATATATATATATATATATATATATATATATATATATATATTGAAAGCTAGCACGGTTAGGTCAAATTGTTAGGTCGGTGGCCGAAATAGAATCGGATTGTGATGCCTGATTATAGTTCAGAGTTGTCTTTGTGCATAGGTGCATGACACCGCCTTGTTTTGTTTACACAGTTTGTTGCAGTATATGGGTGCATTTGGCACAGCTCCAGTGCCGTAGCTAGAGCCCTCGACCAAAGCCACTTTTCGTTGCTTTGTTTCTATACTAAAAAATGACTCTGGCTCCGTGCTTAGATGGTTAGAAGCCCTCCTTGTGAGGGCTCAGCACAAACCTAATTGCTGTCTATAGAATCGGATTTGTCTTTATGCTAACATAGTCCAGAGTTTTGTGGTGAACTGATTAGTCTCCCTAACAGTAAAATTTCAAATAGTGGTGAAAATGGCACAGTTAGCATACTTCCAGTCTAGTTTAATTGAGAGGAAAATGGCACTGATTATGGTGGTGAAAACTAAGAGTGCAATGTGAAGCTAAACTCTTAATATTATCTCTGTAACAGTGTAACTATATTAGCACGCTCTATTTGGTGGTGTTGTCATGGTTCCTTTTATCCAAGTATCATGGACCGAATAGGTAACAAAAATATAGAGTATTCCTCAGAGATACTGTTAATTGTGATTTGTGGCAACACACCTGTTTTTTGTCCTTGTCCTTTCATAGAAAAAAATTGTTTCTTGTGATTTGTGCTAACATGCCTTTTCATCTGTTTATTGTGATTTGTGCTTGCCCACACCAAGTTTTTGTCCTTGTCCTTTCATAGAAAAAAAAATTGTCTCTTGTGATTTGTGCTAACTCACATTTTTCTTTGTTTATCGTGGTTTGTGCTTGCCCAAGCCAAGTTTTTGCTCTTGTCCTTTCATAGTAAAAAATTGTCTCTTGTGATTTGTGCTATCACTTTATGAACTTTGTTAATTTTGATTTGTGCCAATACACATCTCATTTTTGTTCTTGTCCTCGCACATCAATATAATACAAACCCCAGAAGCACCATTTTCCACCGGTAGCTTGTTTTATTAGGTGGTTTTCTCTGTCAATGACACTGCTACAGGAGCACTTATGGCTTATGCCAGTTGTACTTTAGTGATACCAAAGAACTATTTCTGATCAGACAACTTAAAGATTCAGTAAACCAAACAATTTAAAGATTCAGTTACATAATTGCAGTTTGCTATAATGTAGATTGCAAGTATCAGGCACTGCAATTTTAGTTCTAAGCATATGCAATATGTTGTTGTTGAACCGTTTGCCTCGTTGTTACTAAATTGTTACTTGTGATTTGTGCTAGAGCTAGTTTCTCATTTTATATTTGTCATGATTTTATGGTTGTGTCCTAGTTTGTCATCTATCTTTGTTAATACTGATAAACAAGTCATCCTTGCTGGCTTTACCAGTGTTGTGCATGTCTGCTTCATTTCCCAGTAGCAGTAGGTGCTGATGATGAATGTAGCTTTGGTTTCACTACCTCACTAGGTTCTCAGGACCACACTGCATCTTTCCTGTGAACCCTATTTGCTTTAGAAAACTGACAGTAAGCGAAAGGTATCTATTTGTCTTCCTTGATTTTTTAGGTTAACACCAGCGGATAGTTTATTGGTCTGGCTGAGATGGTGGGTCGAATTGATTTTAACAAGACAGTTGAATACTTGCAGCAGGACAAGTGGACTGGTTGGTTTCTAGTCAAGTGGCACATTATGAAGGACATTCCTAACAGCTTGTTGAAGCACATCATTCTTGAATATAATGAAAACAAACCAGTTACTAACAGCAGACATACGTAGGAGGTGAGTTAAGTTGCTTTTAGTTTTTCTCCTGTTTTGTCAGTTTCTCCACTGATTGATTGTTGATGGTTTCACATTGTAGTAGAAATTCTTGATATGCATGAATCAGGAAGTCAGTACTCTCTTAAGATAAATAGAAAATTACTATGTCTAACTCTTTTAATGTTGCGGTAGCTAAGTTTTCTCATACTTTTTCATGGTGTCTCCAGGTTATCTATCTAACTCTTTTAATTGTTATCTGTGATTTGTGCCAACACATTTCATTTCTGTTTATTGTGGTTTGTGATTTGTGCCAGCATAGACATTGTCCTTGTCTTTCCATAGAAAAAAAATTGTTATTTGTGCCAACACATTTCATTTCTGTTTATTGTGATTTGTGATTTGTGCTAGCGCGGACAACATTTTTTGTCCTTGTCCTTCTATAGAAAAAATTGTTATTTGTGATTTGTGCCAACATATTTTATTTCTGTTTATTGTGATTTGTTCCTGATGCTGTAGTGAATTCATCATGCAGGCAACGTCTTGAGGCAGTTTTGCTAGTTCTGCTACGACTAGTAAAAGAAGGTGTGGAACAGCTGCAATAATGTGGTGGTTTGGTTGTTTTTGTTTTGGTTCACAATTTTGTTGTTCTGAATCACTCAGTCTGCTAAACATGCAGGCAGTGTCTTGAGGCACAAAGTGCAGTTCACCTAGAGTAACCAAGAGGATAATGTCGAGGTATGTATGTCCAGCCCTGAATTTCGTGAACTTGCTGCTGTTTTTGTTACTCCAAACCAGCTATGTAAATTCATCACTCTTTTTTCCATCTCAGGAGACACCATTTCAGATGCTTGGTACGAGGTGCTGTCCGTGCTGCATTTGATGGCCATGGTCTGCTTGCCGCAGGCCAACACCCTGCTTCTCCCCAGGTCATACGGCGATGGCTATGCCCCAAGAGTTTCTGAAGGTACTACAACTGTTAAAAGTAAATCCAAAGTGTTGTCGTCTTGATGACTGATGTTCCAAGTTTCCTGCATTTAAATTAGGCCATTGAAATATGCTAATGATTTGTTGTGCAATGAAGTACTTCTGTCTATACTCTATAGTGCTCGTTTGCTGATAAGGCGGCATATTTCCAATGTGTGATGTGATGTAGTTACCTGTAATGTAGGCATCAGTTGCTTCAAATTACCAGAGTAGCTGTTGTGGTAATGCCTGCCTAA